CAGTAGGTGGGTCAGGAGAGGTCTGCCACGCCATGTGGGTCACCTCCCTGGCTGGGGATCTAACTCATGCTGAAGCAGTTGCGGCTAGCTTCACAGCACTGCATTTTAACCCTCTGCACCACCAGGGAGGGCCCCAAGAGTCATCTTTCTAAGTCAGGACGTCTTAGCACTTATGTTGGATGGCAGAAAGCTCACCTTTCTGACCTTAGCTTCAAGTACTAAATTAAATGAGCGTTCATGAATCTGCGGGGGTGGGGTTAGTATTTGTTTAATTAAAGTATCATAGGTTTACAACACTATACATGATTCAGAAGTACAAGGTCCCACATATTCAGATGGATGGATACCATGGCAACCCACCACCGAGGCACACACAGTACACTGTGCCCCTTCTACCTTTTATTCTCTACCCTCTTCCTCCCTCTCGTGTAGCCTCAGTTTAAAAGTGTTATCTGTTTTAAAGAGAATCTATGAACCTCTGTTTTAAAGAGGGCTTACCACATGAAATATCTGGAAAAACAGACTTATTCTTTTTTCAGAAAATTTAATAAGATCAAGAAGAAATCAGTCACACCAGCACAAGGCCAATTACAAAAGTACTTTTGACTTATGCAACACAGACCAGAACTGGGAAATGTACAAGAACATTCCTTCCATGATCTAGTGACAGAATATAATACCAGAAAATATTGGCTCCCGGTGAGGTGGAAGCCCAAATGGAGGTCTCACTATTGTCATAAATGACATGTGAATTTTCAGAAATAACACACAGGAGATGCGAATAACACACACATACAGCAGTACTATCAAATTAGGAAAAAAATAAGGAAGGCCCTCTTCTAAATTCAGAGGCCGCTCCTTTTGAAACATGGGGTTTTCAATTATGTTCCCCGCATGGTCATTTTAGGCCTTGGACCTATATTCAATGAGCAGGTAAACTGTAAGTTACACAGGATATAGTGTTCTTTTAACTGGACTAAATCTGTCAACTAACCGTACAGGCTAGCTGCACTAAATACTTTTACAGGTTCTTAACTAAAAATATAAACTCTGTGGCCCTCCCTGGTGGCTCAACGAGTTAAAGCACACACTACGAAGCTGTCCGCAGCCACTGCAGCATGAGTTCGATTCCCGGCCAGGGAGGTGACCCACATAGCATGGCAGACCTCTACTGACCTGCCCGCTGCTCCCCTCAGCTGTGTACTTCAGTCAATCTGCCTGCTCTGCTCTGCTCCGCTGTCTCTGGTGAATCCTCCCACCCATCGCACCTCTGGCCTATACCCCAGTTCCTGTATGCATAAAAATAAATCTTTAAATAATACATATATTAAAAAAAATACATATATAAATTCAAGTCTACTCCCCACATCTGTTTGCTATTCTATTTCCATTATTAATACTGAAATGCAGCGTTCCCATTCAGGCAAGATTAATTCTCTGTTCCTAAAGCCTTATGCTGACATTGCAATAGATTCATTTGGAAGGCTGTAAAGGCAGGCCCAGACATTGCTCCTGCCACATGATCAGTGAGAGAGGAGATGAGGCCTGGCTCTCAACAAGAGAGAAGAGGAAGTTGATTTGGGACTGTGATCAGAGAGGTGATAGAGCCCAGTGGTTAGGAGCTCAGGCTTACAGACTCAGACAGCTCAATTCAATCCCAGCTTTTTTTTGTAATCTAGATGTGTACCTTTAGGCAACTAACCCCTCAAGGGACTCAAGATTCCTTCTTTAAGCAATCTGGTAAGATTCTAAAGCACTGACACAATAATGAGGAAGATAGTTAATAATCCAGCCTTGTATGAATCCAGTTCTGACATGAATAAAGAAAACAAATCTTTAAAAGAAAATAAAGTCAAAAGGAAAAATGACAATGGGGGAGTCCCTAGTAGTGATGGCCTAGGAGTTAAGTTTCAGCACGGCCACCACAACAGCCCTCTGCGGCAGCCTGAGTTCATTCCCTGACCAGGGAGGTGACCCACATGGCACAGCAGACCTCTCCTATTTTGCCTGCTGCTCCCCTCAGCAGTGTGTTTCAGTAGATCTACCTGCTCTGCTCCCCACTCTGTCTCTGGTGAATCCTTTCCCTCTGTACCTCTGTTCTACACCCCAGTTCTACACAAAAATAAAATCTTTAAAAAAAGGCCATGCTCATCTTCATTATGTCATCATCTTCAGAATCATCCTCAGTATATTGAGTTAGGACAGACAGAGCCCTGTACTTTTTAAAAATATAGCAAATAAACAAAAGGGAATATGGTAATAAAAACAGAATCAGGTTTTGGTTAACCATGCTAATGAAGGGTGGAAAGACTATCCTTAGTTTGAAGAACTCCTCCCTCACAAGAGTATAGACAGGGAAAAAAGGTTTTTATAAAATTACATATATAAAATTATACATTGTTGTTTATTGGAGTAAATGATATAATTGATAAAGAGGCAGTCATTAATAGTAAGAATTCTGGAATCAGACTGCATTAGAATTCTGGCTCTACCACACCTTTGATAAGTTATGAATCTCTTTGTGTCTCACTTTCCTCACCTGTAAAATGTGGCAAATATTAGTACCTACCAGTACTAGAGGGTTATAATGAAAATAAAATTAGTGAATAAATATAAAATGATTAGGAGAAGATGACTCATAATTAGTGCTGAATGTTAGCAGTCCTTATTACTGTTGCTATTGTTTTAGCTGATTATACTAAGTTGACTCCTTAACAATATTAAAATTTGTTTAAATTTGATGATTACAGAGGGAACTAGAGCAAAAGCCAACAGTTTAGAGGTCTACAGGCAGCAAATAGAAAACACAGATAATCAGAACACAGATAACTACAGTAAAAAGGAAGTGGGTAATGTAGACATAAGGATATATAGAGAGAGACATATTTATGAA